ATCAGCCCCAACACAGGCAGCCTGGTGCTACCAGGGCTGTCTCCCAGTTCTGCACCAGCGGAGACCATCAGCCCCAGCACCAGCGCCCAGGTGCAATCCCCTGGATCTTCAGCACCAGAGACCAGCAACCACCATACAACCCAACAGGCAACATCGGAGCAGTCTCTGCAATCTCCCTCACAGGAGATGAGCAGCTCCAGCCCTGACAGTCAGGTAACATGGGGGTCATCCCAGAGCAGCTTTCCAGAAACTGAGGACAGCAGCTGCTCCAGCAGTCGGGGGCCTGACCGCTGGCAAAACCACTCCTGCCGGAAACGTCGGGCACAAATACCACACCTTCGGTCCAGAAGTCCCCAGGACAGGAGCCATGTGCCAGCACCAAGTCCTGGGAGGCGCAGGCCGAGGCAGAGACAATCAGGGACGTCGCACAGGCGAAACCGCTCCCGCCTGCAACGTCAGACCCCAAATCCATCCGGCCGGTCCAGAAGTCGCCATGACAGGAGCCATGTGAGAGCACCGAGTGCCAAGAGGAGACGCCGGAGCCAGGAAACATCGAGGACATCCCGCACACAAAATCGCTCCTGCCAACAACGTCAGATCCTAAATCCATCTGGCCGGTCCAGAAGTCCCCATGAGAGGAACTGTGCGCCAGCACCGAGTGCTGGGAGGCGAAACCCAAGGGAGACAGCAGCCGGGACCTCCCAAAGGCAACAACACTCCCGCCAGCAGCGTCGGACCCCGAACTCATACAGCAGATCCAGAAGTCATCATGACAGGAGCTGTGTTAGAGCCCCCAGTGCTGGGAGCTCCACTCACCGGTGGGACAGTGAGACAGGGACCCACCGCTGACACGTCCCACGTCAGACAGGGAGAAGGAGGCCCCCAAAGGGAGGGAGCCAGGTGAGAGCAAAGTGCCCTTCCCGCAGCCTGGCAGAGGGGCTGTCAGGGCTGCCAGCATGGGGCCAGGAGTGGTGGCACAGGGAGGCAGGAGCTGTCCAGCCATCCCAGGGCGGGGACCTTCTTTTCCTCAGCAAGCGGGGCCCAGCTCTGGCAGGGGACACCTGCTGGGACACCTGTGCCCCCCATGTCCCGTCCTCCCCAAAGCCTCCAGCCCTGCCCTTCAGCCAGCCAGGCAGGGACAGAGCAGCCCTTGGGGTCGATCCTGCAGGGATGCTGCCCCGGCCCCGCAGAGGTGCCATTGTCTCTCTCCCCTCCAGCATGCCTGCTGTGTGGACGATCAGAGGCTGACCCGGGCACCTGTGGAGAAAAACTCCAGTTAAATTGGCTCTGTGCCCATGAGTTCTGCCTGGTGAGTTGCTCTGTGGGCTCCCTCCATTTTTTGACAGGCAGTCTCTGCCACTCTCTCCTCATCAGTGAGTGTCGTTTTTCCTGCAGTTTTTTGCCAGCGACTTTCCTGACCGCCCGGGTCATTGAGTAGGACTCTAGTGTCTTCACAAAAGGAATATCCAAGATGGAGTCTCCCGGGCAGCACAGCAGGTGAGAGCCTGACAAGAGCAGGGAAATTTGGGCCAGGCGAGGTTTGCTGGAGCTTAGCCCAGACCCCAAGCAAGAAAGCCCAGCCCTTCCAACCAGCTCTGGGACACGGAGGAGGCCCTGAGGCTGCTGCTGATGGGGCTGCTCTGCTCTTTCCAGAGATGCTGCATCTGTGGCCAGAGCGGGGCCACCATCACCTGCTGCGAAACAGACTGTGACCTGAGCTTCCACCTGCCCTGTGCCAAGTAGGGAGGCCGTGTCACCCAGTTCATGGCACCGTACAGGTACCTCCTGTCCCCTCCTCACCACCACCAGGGAAGGGCCGAGCACTTCTCAACTCACCCACCCCTTTTTCCCCCAGGGGCTTCTGCCCCGCACACAGCCCAGAGCAGGCAGAGGAGGCGACTCCGGAGCCGGGCACCGAATGCCTCATCTGCATGGAGCCTGTGGAGGACAGAAAGA